ATTTTTCCTACCTAAATGCAGAACTTTACATTTATCCCCACTAAAATTCATTTTATTTGTTTTAGCCCAGTAAGATCATCCTGTATCCTGACTCTGTCTTCTACTGTATTTGCTACCCCAGTTGAAATATTTCAACAATTGTCACAAAAGCTGGAGAAACAAAACAGATTCCATTTAGCATTCTCGTTGTTTTTCAAATGATGATGTATTTGCAGATAGTTTGTTAAAAACCCAAATTCAGACTCAAATCTCAAGCCTTTTTTTTGTGTTTACAAAGAACAACATTTGACATTAAGAGACAAGGGTACTTAGATTCCTGCTAGCTGCCACCTATAGTTTGCAACCTTTTCCTGTTAAAAATTAAAGATGGAAGAAAAGAAGGATTTAAATGAATTAAAATAAATTTTAAAAAAATTTTTAGATGTCCCTCAAACCAACTATGGTGCTGGAGAAGACTCTTGAGAGTCCCTTGGACTGCAAGAAGATCAAATCAGTCAATCCTAAAAGAAATCAATCCTGACTGTTCCCTGGAAGGCCAGATAATGAAACTGAAGCTCAAATACTTTGGCCACCAAATGAGAAGGGAGCACTCACTGGAGAAGACCCTGATGCTGGGAAAGACTGAAGGTCAAAGAAGACGGGGACGGCAAAGGATGAGATGGTTAGACAGTGTCATCGATGCAACAAACATGAAATTGAGCCAACTTCAGAGGACGGCGGAAGACAGGAGGACCTGGCGGGAGCTGGTCCATGGGGTCGCAAAGAGTCGGACTCGACTGTGCGACTGAACAACAACAACAAACCAACTGCACTCAAGGCTTAGATTTTTCAGAGCAAAGCATCTTTAATCATAACATGTAGGTGAATTGAATGGGAGCAATTCATAAGCCATGTATGTAATGCAATTCAGACACCATTTTGTTTGCCTGTTTGGGTTACTTGACTAAACTCTGGTCAAGAGGCTTCTGGGCCTGTGTAGGCCAGGAATGTTTGTAAGAGATGTGCTGCTTTAAATCTGAAGAAGCGCCTAGAAGTCTCCTTAGAGACAAGGGACACACTGATAAGGGGAGAGTTATGTCCTTCACTCCCTGGCTCTCCCAGCTGCGAACACTTAGCAGTGCCGGCCTTGGAGGCCATTAATTAATTAGCAACATTCCCAAGTGATTGCACCTGCGTTGGGAGGGGAATCGGTCTATCTTCTGAATTTTAAGTTTCGATTCCCCAGAGCTCATAAACAAGTATTATGGGATATCTTGGTTACCTTGGATACTGGCAAGAGTGACATCACATTGCCCGGTCGTGAATGGTTAACAGGCCTGAATCATTCATGACCCCTTTCGCTATAAGAACTCTGGTTCTTGGTAACCAGAGAGGATTCTTTGAGTATTTTGGCCAAGCCTGGTCAATACTTGGAGCAACCCTCCATTATGCCTTGATACTTGGATTTACCACCCAGGTGGGGAGATGCAGTTGGACTTATACTCTGTGTCTCAGGACTCTTTGCACCTTTGAACCCAATACGGGTAAAACTTGCTTGTATGCTGCTTGTAAGTATTAGCTATGCTGGAAAAGCTTAGATTTGTTATTTTGTTCCTTCACTACCTAAGTCTCGTGTTTTATAACTTTGCACAATTTATTTAAATAAAGAAACTTATATTTTTACCTTGTCTGGGTTATTCAGCCTCAAGAGCTTCAAAGCCTAAATCTTGTGTCTTAGACTGCTGGGTCTTTCTACTACCAATGGTGTTTCTTGTTCAAGTCCTGTGGTGAAGACTGCAGAGCTTGTTCTGTGAACTGTGTTCCTGTGTTAAGCCTGGAGATTTTGGCTACTTTGCTCCAGTCTTGTTGGGAACTCTTGAAAGTGGCCTGGTGGCAGACTACCTTTAGTTAAATACTTGTGTTGGTGGTTCCTTGTACCCCAGACTGAGGCCCTGGAGAGGACCCCGGTTGGGACAATGTATTATACAACAAATGCAGCAACTGCTATGTTGGTACTTGCACATTCTTCCAAGCACTCAAGAGTTGTTTAAAGAACATCAGCCCTTCAAACCCCATATTCATTGGATAGCCAGGAGGAGCCCTCAAGACCGCTATGTTCCATGAAGCAGGAGCTATTAGTCGTACACCAAGGAAAGTAAGAACTGTTTCTGCCCATGTTTGGAATGTCTCTGGCACAGCCCCAGTCTTTCATAATACACTGCCAAAATAAATATGGACAGCACCACCCAAGTGAGTTCAAAAGACATTTGGATGTCTTCAGAGCTTATTTCTGGGTTGTGCTGTGCAACTGGAAGTGAGATCTGAAGGAATTTAAATTCCTTCATAGCCCACCTCCAGGTCGGGCTGGTCCAACTGAGCTCTGGGAGTAAGCTTTATAGGCCTTTGGAGTCCAATTCCAGGTGTGGTCTGCCCATATAAGAGCATATAAGGCCTATGAAAGCCTTCAGAGCTCACTCTGGGGGGTCAGTCAAATCAGACTTCCCAACTTGGTAGAGCTCCAGAGGACTATATAGGCCTTTAGAGCTCACTTTTGGAGCTCAGTCAGGCTGGCCCGACCTGGAAGTGGGCTCCGAAGGCATTTAAATGCCTTTAGAGCTCACTTCTGGTTGCATGGCCTGACCTGGAGGTGGGCTCCAAAGGCATTTAAATGCCTTCAGAGCTCACTTCCGGGTGGGCAAAACCTCTCGAACCATGAACTGGTTTTTGCAATGGAGGAGTTCATTGGAGGTTTGGGGTTCATGAAAACCCTGAACCATGAACCTCCAATGAATCTCCATTTTCCCAGTTCATGCCCATCCTAGTTAGAACATATTAAGGAACTCAAATATCATATATTTTTTTTGTTCAGTCGCACAGTCGAGTCCAACTCTTCGCGACCCCATGGGCCAGATCCCGCCAGGTCCTCCTGTCTTCCGCCGTCCTCTGAAGTTTGCTCAATTTCATGTTCGTTGCATCTATGACACTGTCTAACCATCTCATCCTTTGCCATCCCTGTCTTCTTTGACCTTCAATCTTTCCCAACATCAGGGTCTTCTCCAGTGAGTGCTCCCTTCTCATTTGGTGGCCAAAGTATTTGAGCTTCAGTTTCATTATCTGGCCTTCCAGGGAACAGTCAGGGTTGATTTCTTTGAGGATTGACTGATTTGTTCTTCTTGCAGTCCAAGGGACTCTCAAGAGTCTCCTCCAGCACCATAGTTCAAAAGAATCTATTCTTCGGCGCTCGGCCTTCCTTATAGTCCAACTCTCACAGCCATACATGACTACTGGGAATACCATTGCTTTGACCATGCGGACTTTTGTTGGCAGGGTGATGTCTCTACTTTTTATCATGCTGTTTAGGTTCGCCATCACTTTCCTCCCAAGGAAATCTTTTAATTTCATGGCTGCTGTCACAGTCTGCGGTGATCTGGGATCCCAGGAACGTGAAGTCTGTCACTACTTCCACGACTTCACCTTCTATTTGCCAAGGAGTGATGGGGCCGGATGCCATGATCTTAGTTTTTTTGATGTTGAGCTTCAAGCCCACTTTTGCGCTCTCCTCTTTTACTCTGAGCAAGAGGCTCTTTAGATCCTCTTCACTTTCAGCCATTAGAGTGGTATCATCTGCATATCTGAGGTTGTTGATCTTTTCCCCAGCAATCTTAATTCCCGCTTGTGATTCATCCAGGCCAGCATTTCGCATGATGTACTCTGCATATATATTAAATAAGCAAGGCGACAATATACATCCTTGTCGTACTCCTTTTCCTATGCTGAACCAATCAGTTGTTCCATATCCGGTTCTAACTGTCGCTTCTTGGCCCTTATACAGGTTTCTCAAGAGACATGTGAGGTGGTCTGGTACTCCCATCTCTTTAAGGACCTGCCATAGTTTGTTGTGATCCACACAGTCAAAAGCTTTAGCATAGTCAATGAAGCAGAAGTAGATATTTTTCTGGTACTCTCTTGCTTTCTCCATAATCCAGCGAATGTTGGCAATATGATCTCTCGTTCCTCTACCTCTTCGAAACCCAGCTTGTACTTCTGGTAGTTCTCTATCCACGTACTGTTGAAGCCTAGCTTGTAGGATCTTGAGCATGACCTTGCTAGCGTGTGATATGAGTGCAATTGTGCGATAGTTTGAACATTCCTTGGCATTGCCCTTCTTTGGGATTGGAATGTATACTGATCTTTTCCAATCCTGTGGCCACTGTTGCGTTTTCCAAATTTGCTGGCAAATTGAGTGCAGCACTTTAACAGCATAATCTTTTAAGTCTTTGAATAGCTCAGCTGGAATACCATCACCTCCACTAGCTTTGTTGTTAGTAATGCTTTCTAAGGCCCATTTAATATCAAATATCATACTGAACCATGTAATATATCTTATAATTAATATGAACTTTATTTATACCCCACCTTTCTCCCCAATAGGGAACCAAAGCGGCTGAGATTTTTTTATCCCCCATTTTATCCTCACAAACAGCCCTGTGAGGTAGGTGAGGCTGAGCATGTGTGACTGCCCCATGGTCACCCAGCAAGCCTCCATAGCAGAACAATGATTTGATTCTGGCTCTTCCAGATCATAGTCCTTGTTTTGCTATCCAAGCTTAGAAAAGAAACAATATTTATTTATTTATTTATTATTTGTATTTATAGCCCACCCATCCCACGAGCGGGCTCAGGATGTGTAACATCATAAAACATACAAAAATACAATTAAAATTAAACAATTTAATATTTTAAAATAACAGACATTAAAACACAGCCACACTTCTAACAAATCAGCTGGCTGTGGGGGTTCCCTGGCATATTATTTGGATTGATAGGTGGATGGGTGACAACCACCTCAGGGAGGCCATATAGAGACGTCCGCCACTTCAACTGAAGGCCTGGAAGAACAACTCCGTCTTACAGGCCCTGCGGAATTGAAGAAGATCCCACAGAGCCCTAATCTCAACTGGGAGCATGTTCCACCAGGCAGGGGCCAGGGTGGAAAAGGCCCTGGCCCTGGTTGAGGCAAGAAGGGCATCCTTTGGGCCGGGGACAACCAGGTGATGTTGGTCCATAGAGCATAGCGCTCTTCAGGGCATATAAGGGAAGAGGCGGTCCCTCAGATATGTGGGTCCCAGGCTGTATAAGGCTTTAAAGGTGATTGGGGTTCTAACTATCCAACATCAGGTAAATTTGCACTTTTAAGTTAACAGATGAACCACAAGACAATCATTTTGAAGCATGCAGGTGACACAACAACAAAACCAAGTCTCAGTTCCAAACAATTTTAGCTATACTCCATCAAACTCAGGATTTCTGAGTACATTCGCTGAGGAGCATCAAGGCCCCAAATATAATCCCAGTGGACCCAGTCAGAGAAATGTCTGTAATGAATTATATTTTTCAGTCGAGATCTTAACTGTGCTGTTTCCTTTGACCGGGCAACCCAATCATGACCTCCACTCCACATCGCTATTGGGACCGTGATCTCTTCTATCTTGTACGGGGGAGGAACAGTCTAGAAAAAAGGAAAAATATAGAATTAAATTGTTATATTTTTACCTAAAGTGAATAATCTGAGAAATTTCAAGATAAACTGAAAGAAGTATGATAAGATTAGCAGAATGTCTCAAGGAAGTTTCACACATAAATGTGCATTTGTGTGTTTGTGTGAATCAACTATGATGATTCACCCTACAACTAAAGTAAATTTGGAAGTGAGATATCTGAGGAATTTCAAGGAAAAACTGTTGATATGACTTCTTACAGAAAATATGATCTGTATCCATATATATGTGTACAAGGAGCTGCTTCTTTACAGTAGGATCATTTTTCTTTTCTGTGAAGCCGCAGTTAAAGCTACAGAGTGACAGGCATATAGTATGAATAGAAGATGGATAAAACAGACATTTTTAAAGAGTTGGTTCTGGGTTCACCACAGTCACACAGCAGCTGCACAGAATGTTTTTTTAAAAAATAAGGGAAAGCCCAAATGAGCTTGGAAGACCTTTGTGAGGGGAGCAAGGGATCCTGCCTCCCTTCCCTAGCCATTCATTGTCCCACACTGTAACAATGCTGCGGGAATTTATTTTCCTGCAAAGATGAGGAAATAACTCCCTATAAGTGCTGTCTCCATATGGGATAATGGCTGGGGGGCAGGAATCATTCATCCCCCCTCCCCAGGGATCAGGGCCGGCTCCAGGTCTTTTTGTACACTAGGCAAGGCTACCTTCTGGTGCCCCCCCCCTGCGCCCAACAATTATGGGGTTGCCAACCTCCAGGCAGGGCCTGGAGAGAAGGTGGGGGCGGGGGTGCTTGTCTGGATTCACTTGCCTGGATCAAAGCCCTAATGGGTGCATTCAAAGCATGGGTGCAACCCCCCCCCCCCATCTATCCATTTTATCCTATAGAGGTTGGTAGAAGGTGGCAAATAGTTGGAAGGAAGGAGTAAAATTGCTGGGGGGGTCATTTTCTAAGGGGGAGAGGAAAGGACTTGGCTTCTCTTAAACACACACACACACACCCGGGAGGAATATTTTGCATGTCAAAACAGTCTCTTCTGGGCTCCGACTGCGATCTAGCACGTGGCAACCAGAGTTGCAGGGTGGTGGTGGAAAGAGGGTGATTCTCTCACTTGCTGTTAACTCTCCATTCGACCTTTTTCCCGAGGGAGGGGGGCCTTCCTGAAATGGGGTGCATCATACAGGGAACCCAGGCATCCGGGTACCTCTTGCTGGCAGCAGCGGCTTTATTTTTGGCGGCATCCCCAGAGATCGCTGGCCGAGGAAACACCCTATTAGGGAAAGCGGGTGCCGTTCCAGCATGGGGAGGGCTAAAGGGGGTGGACCGAAGTGAGGGAGACAGACATGTCTCCCACCAACCGCAGAAGGGGATTCAAATTCGGAGCGAGACGCATGACAGTGGGAGGATCGTGGAAGGCCGGTTTAATGTGGAGTGGAGGGGGGGAGAGAAGGGGGGAGTGTTGGAGGAGACTTCTCGGATGGCTCAGAATAGGAGTGAAGGAAGAGAAGGCCGGGAGGAAAAGGGGATCCCGTTTGAGTGTTGTTCGTCGCTGACCCATCGTCCCCAGCCTCAGCTTCCGGACGAGGCGGGGAGAGGCCTTGCGCAGCACCGAGCAGTCTGCACTGGGCCCGGCAGCTGACATCCAACTGAGGGACGGTGGTGCCTGTCGAAAGCGCAGCCCCACTTCCCAGCGCCCCTCCCACGCTCCATCCGGCACCCCCTTGATGGCCCTGCGCTCTAGGCGAGAGTCTAGCTCGCCTAGTGAGTGAGCCGGCCCTGCCAGGGATCTTCCAGATTGTGTAGTTGCTATGGGACTATGGTGAACTTGAGTTGGGTACAGGGAACCAGACCCAACTCTTTAAAACCCAAAGGTGTAGTGTGGCCCTAAAACTCCGCAGAGTAGCCACATGTTGATACGGGGGGGGGGGTAAGGGAGAGACATAGCAGGGCTCCTTGAATATTAAAGACCAGACCCCCCCCCAAAAAAAAAGAGCAAAAGATCCACAGGTTAGTTTGAAATACATTTAAGGACCCCTGTGTTCATTCATCCCCCTCCAAAACACCAACACAAAACTCCAGTACATCCATACCTGGTTGTATTTCTTTATATTCTCTGAGCCATAATCAAAGTACCTGGGTTTTCCTGTTTTGGCTAACTAGAAAATGAAAAAAAGAGCATGTTGGATACCCATCATATAAAGGCAAACTTTACTACATAAATTGCGTACAGCAGTTGTTCTTCTCTTGGCCTCTCTATGGCCTTCACCATGTCCGGTTCATGACCTGCCCTGTAGACTATCAATATCTAGACAATGTGCATTGCACTGTACTATTTACTGTTTTAAGTATTATTTATGTTGTACACCACCCTGAACCCTCCAGGGGAGGGTGGTTTATAAATTGGATTAAGTTAATTTATATGACTTTTGATATTGCGGGATGTTTTTTGAAGGGAGCTCCACTGCCAGTTTGTTCATGACAAAGAAGTTGGCTGAAAGCTCTCAGTTTCATCCTCAGGGAGGGTCCTGCTAAAATGGCAAACCATGGTCAAAATCCTAGGGTGAAGATCTTAGGACAATGAAATGGCAGGGATGGCAAACAGATCAAAGTGGGGGGAAATCAGAGAGAGCAAAACACAACAGTGTTGTATACATGATCCTGCATTGTTTTACAATATTGAAATCAAGCTCTGTTTCACTGCTGGCATGCATTATAATGGATATATTTCTTTCACTGTATCTCTGACACCAAAAATTTCCTTTTTTGTTTCAAAACACTCAAACTAAAGAGAACAAATATTTCTTTTCTTTCACTGATATTAGTGTATCATTTCCTTTGATCATTTGGGCCCTAATTATTATTCAATCTGTGAAAATAGCACTATGAGTAGGCAGAGGTTTTCCTTTCTAAACAAACAAAATGAAAAGTATTATACTGTATTATTGTACTAAATATCCATATGGTGTAGTGGTTGGAGTGTTGGACCTTGATGAGACCTGGGTTTAAATCTCCAGTCTGACCTACAGTTCACTCTGTGACCTTGGGTCAGTCACTTTTCTTTAGCCTAAGCGACCCAACCGGGTCACTGCATTGATAGAATAAGGAAGGAATGATTGAAATCGAATAAATGAATAATTTTACAGGCAGTCAAATATTCAGTTTTCTTCAGGAGATACATTTACATTCAGTAACTCTACCTGGCTCCAGTGGAGTATTTGCTTCACAGAAGTATAATCTGGAAATCGCGATGTATACACATCAGTTCGGCTCTGAAAGAAAAAGTTTACTTAGAAAGAAGTCACATGACTTTTTTTGCCAGGAGTGCATAATTAGTTATGTATTGCTATGGCATGGCTTTCTGAGAGAAGACAGTTAGTGAGTTCTAAATAGGGAAGGGCACAAACCAGCTGACAAACCAAAGTTTGTCACAAATTTTGGGCAGTTTGTGGTTCACATGTAACAGAGCGAGGAGTAAGGTAAGGGAAAAAGTGTAGCTCATTTCAATTTAACCATTACACTATTGAAATACAGGAGAAGAGGGACAAAGACAGAGCAGAGAGAGAGAGAGCAATGGTGTATTGGGAAGAAAAATTATTTTATTGTTATACTGCCCCTATGTGTTTCCCATACTGTTCTTCAGGGGGAGCTATAAGAATGTAAATGAAAAGAAAAAAATAAATTACCATTTAAAAGCAGAATTAAGAAACTCATTAGAAACTTAGTAGAAAGACATGTGAAAAGTGCATAAATGTATACAGACTTACAAACCAAAGACCATGTTGCAGATACTATACAGCTGTAATGGAACATTACACACACTATATATAGTTGGAAACCTAGATTTTAAAACAAAATTTATGTAGATCAGTCTAAAACTTTTGCAAGTTAGAAAAATATACAACTAACCCATAAACCTGTATAGCCAAAGCAGTTCACACAACAACAGAGCTTGAGAGACAGAAGTGTGATGGTCTGACTCAGTTTTTTCTCCTGTAAGAGATAACAACTCAAGCTTTTTATTCAGGGCTTTTTTTGTAGAAAAAGCCCAGCAGGAACTCATTAGCACAATAGGCCATATCCAACAGCAGGAACGCATTAGCATATCAGGCCACACCCCTGACAGCACAGCTCATTCACATATTAGGCCACACCCCCATGTTACCAGAAGTGTGGTCATTCAGCCAAACCCACCTTTTGCTTCTTATTCTCTTTACCTTGTTTGTTGTCAAAACCCATGGCTTTTTGCATGTTAGGCCGCACACCCCTAATTGTACCCAATCCGAATGAGTTTCTGCCGTTGGGTGTGGCCTATTATGCTAATGAGTTCCTGCTGGGCGTGGTCAACTTGGGAGCCAGCTGGAACTCCGTTCTTGTGCGTTCCTGCCCAAAAATAGCCCTATATTTAACCCATGAAGGACCAGAGCCATCAGTCCCACAATCCTCCCTGCCTGTTTTTAATAACCTTTTATCACTATCGTATTCAGATCTAAAAATAGCTCAAAATGTAAAGTCCATTGGACCATGGTGTGCTCGAGAAAGTGCTGAATCAAAGGGAAACCTGAGGTTTTTAAAACGATGGATATCACTTTTCTGTTGTGCAATATGTACTTTATTTTTCTCAAGGTTTTGCCACTATCTAATCTTTTCACAAGGACATTTAATAACAGACACTTCCAATCAGAACTGTGTGTGGTGAAATAATTGAGAAAGTGCTATATTTTTTAAATACCGTTTAATCAAATTTGTCAGGCTGCTTATAAGATTGGATAATGGACAGTTTCCACAGGGAAAATGTTCTCTAGGGGGACTGGATCCTTGCTGTGAATTGAAAGGTCAATATGTACTACTGTGCACCAATTGATCTTTCAGATTAGGTGTATCTTTTGAATGAGATGATAAGTTTCAATTTCTATATATGCTCTTAAGACCGACACATATGACTGAAGGTTAGGCTGCATGTGAGTCTTCTCAGATCTGTTCCCCCCACCCCCGTTCTGCAACAACCCCTCCAGTTACAAGCACTGACTTTGGAATAAGCAGACTGTGAAACCTGATGTGGGTATTCTCTAGTTCGCAAATTCTGTTTAAAAATAGTAGCCGCCCTGCAGAAACCCTGCATATTTGTACAGCTCCTCTTGTTCCTTAACATCTGGCTATATGACAAACTATTCTTCAAATGAACAGTGTTATCAAAATAATTAATCATCTTGTCAAAATCTTTCTATCCTTCTTGATAACCATATCATCTAAGAAATTCATTTGGCTATCATTCACATGCAATTCAAACCTGATACCTTATTCTGTATATCAAGCCCATTGTTGAATGCCAATAACTGGTCCTGACTGCCTTCTCGTAGGAAGAAAACATCATCATTGAAACATCACCATATAATATTTTTTAACAAAAGGATTGTCAGAAGACTATACAAAACTTTCTTCAAAATGATACATATACAATTTGGCTGTCTCTGGTGCCATGGAAGAACTCATGGTTACAGTTCTTTTTTCAGAGCTATCTCTGATAATGCCTAAGGAAAGATGTGGGGGTATCTATTTTGTCTTTTGTTTAAAGTACTTTCTGTAATGGAAAAGGAAGGCAGTATGGTATAGCCCAGTCTTGTCAGATCTTGGAAGCTAAGCAGGGTCAGTACTTGGAAGGGAGACCACCAAGGTCAGACTCTGCAGAGGAAAGCAATGGCAAACCATCTGTGCTTCTTACTTGCCTTGAAATCCCCTAACTTGAGTTGCCATAAGTTGGCTGCAACTTGATGGCACCTTACACACACACTTTCTATGATAGATAATGCCCCAATTCAAGGGATCTAAAGAGCTTACATCTAGAGTGAATGGAAGAACACCAGTGTCAACACATGATATTTCACCCAATGTATTCATCAATCAGTGGTGTCCTTAATATATGATGATACCATAGGGGCAAATTCCAAGACTGAGACATTGCCAGAAACTATGGGTCTCCCTGGTAGAACAGACATGTTCTTGTGAATTTTAGTTAAAATGTAAAGAATGGGTGTTGAGGGATTTGGGTTGTCTAAAAAATGTCTCTCACATGGGGACATATAATCCACAATTTCACCTTCTTCCAACAAAATCCTGATCTTGTTCTGAATACATTTAACAGGTTCATGGCTACATGGAGCATAATATGACTGGTTAGTCAGCTGTCTAAAAACTTCTTATTCATAACCTCTCTATTTTATGTGTTTCCTTTATAATAATGTTATGGTTTTGGGCTAAGATCTTTAATGCCATTTTTTTAAATTGTTTTTATTATTTTACTGTATAGTACTCACAAGTACAGGGGGGGAAGTAACAGCTCAATAAGGACAGAACAAGAACAATTGATGTCCCCAATACATAACATATCAACTGTGAGCAAAAATGAATTCGTAATCTAGGTCTGAAGCCCGACTGTGCAAACATGTTGAACTCTAGGACTCCGGAGACTACTCTCCAACCTAACTTCCCTCAGTCACTGCTCCCTAACATCCAGTGTACTTGGACTAACATCTCGTAGTCAGAAACTGAAATCTCCAGCTAGTTATAAGAACAACCATCTATGGTAAGCATGGTTTGTGGGGAGTATCTCATGCTTTGTCAGGTAATCCACCACCGGCGACCAAAATCTCCTGAATTTCGCGTTCGATGCGTTGAATGACGCTTGGGTCCCCCGACTTTGATTATTAATTTTTGCCATGACAAATTGTTCCCAAATCTTATCATGCCACGCAGATATTGTAGGAGGTTCTGGAGATTTCCACTTCGCAGCTATTGATAACTTGGCCGTTGTTAACAGGAGTGACAAGAGATGCCATTTCTTTCTTGACAACTTAGATTGCTCCATAAAGATATGGTGTCATTTTCTAGTCTTTCCAGGTCTGGAAGTAACTTATTTTCAGAGACCTGGACAGAAGGTAGAAGACATGAAGATAAGAAGTCTAGGGTTGGGCATGGCTCATGAATTTTGGCTGGTTCATGGTTTGCAAAGTGAAGAGCCACCATGAACTTCCACAAATTTTGATGCAGTACATGGCAGTACATGACAGTTCGTGAAGTGGAGAAAGCACATGTTTAAATGGCTTGGAGCCATTTAATGCTAAATGCAAGGGGGTGGACTTAGCATGAGTCCCTGAAGGAATATAAACCAAACTTACTTTTGGCAGTGAAATTAATAACCAATGACAAGTAACCATTAACAAACTAAGTAACCAATGACAAACAGGTTTGCCTTCACCATCATTTCTCCTACCTTTGCCTCATACTTTGCCTCCTTGACTGTACAAGCTACATCTGACACACCCTTGTCAGTTAACTGGCCATGATTGTACGTAAAATAAGAAACCACCCATCCAATTTAAAGAGCACTTCAAAACAAAAATAACAAAAGAGAAGAAAGCAGACTGCAAAGATATGGTAGAATAAACAATCTGCTTTAAGTGTCAAAAAAGGAAAAAAGTTATCTCTATGGACATCTTGAACTCTGAATAGGATTCACACATGTTGAAGTTCTCCCCGAATGCTTAAGATGGAACCCATTCAGAACAGGTTTTAAACTAAACCAACCACCATGCAAAAAATTTTCTACATCCCTTATCAGGAGATGTTCTTTTTCTGTCTACAGGTTTGCCTTCACTGTCATTTCTCCTACATTTGCCTCATATAATCCTTGTCTGTACAAGAGCCAAATCTGTCACTCCCTTGAAAAAGGCCTTAATTTCCAACAAAGGAAGCAGCCACACCCTTCAAACCCTGTGACTTATTATTTTATACACAGCACTAAAAAAAGAAATATTATTTTTAAAGAATGCACAAAAATACCTTATTTAGATTTTTTTCATTGAATCCACTAACAAGAAAAAGAGCTTGCTTGCAAAGTACGTCCATCACTGGCCAGCTGCATGTTCGGGCCATAAGTGCTCTCAGTCTTGGGCCCAAAAGGCAAAATTCTTTTGTACCAAATATAATCTGTAACACAAACACAAAACAAAGATTCTCCCCACTATAATAAAGCAGTTCTATACATGTCTAGTAGGATGAACCGAGAGCTTCAGAATAAGCTAAGGGAGAGAAAGGAAATGGAGGGAAATGGAGGGAAGGTCAGACCTCTAAAGAGTAGTATACGGGAGTTACTAGATACTGCAGATCAGCCATCAGAGAAACCAAAGCTCAGTATGAGTTGGGTCTGGCCAGAAGGGCTCACTACAATAAGAAAAATGTCTACAGCAAAACTGTGAAACACAGCTGAGTGGTGAGGAGAAAACAGCTCCTCGCCTCAGCTTTCCCCCCCAATTTTTGTCTGCAGTCCCTTTAAACCAGCCTGGTTTTAAAAGACTGCAGAAGAAGGGGGAAACAGCTGGGAGGTGGGGAGCAGTCTCCCAGCCCCTCAAATGTTTTCCTTGATTTTAAACCAGGCTGGTTTAAAGGGACTGCAGAAGAAGGGGGAAACAGCTGGGAGGTGGGGAGCAGTCTCCCAGCCCCTCAAATGTTTTCCTTGATTTTAAACCAGGCTGGTTTAAAGGGACTGCAGAAGAAGGGGGAAACAGCTGGGAGGTGGGGAGCAGTCTCCCAGCCCCTCAAATGTTTTCCTTGATTTTAAACCAGGCTGGTTTAAAAGGACTGCAGACAAAAATTGAGGAAAACAGCTGAGAGGCTGGGAGACTGCTCCCCACCTCCCAGCTGTTTCCCCCTTCTTCTGCAGTCCCTTTAAACCAGCCTGGTTTTAAAAGACTGCAGAAGAAGGGGGGGAACAGCTGGGAGGTGGGGAGCAGTCTCCCAGCCCCTCAAATGTTTTCCTTGATTTTAAACCAGGCTGGTTTAAAAGGACTGCAGACAAAAATTGAGGAAAACAGCTGAGAGGCTGGGAGACTGCTCCCCACCTCCCAGCTGTTTCCCCCTTCTTCTGCAGTCCCTTTAAACCAGCCTGGTTTTAAAAGACTGCAGAAGAAGGGGGGGAACAGCTGGGAGGTGGGGAGCAGTCTCCCAGCCCCTCAAATGTTTTCCTTGATTTTAAACCAGGCTGGTTTAAAAGGACTGCAGACAAAAATTGAGGAAAACAGCTGAGAGGCTGGGAGACTGCTCCCCACCTCCCAGCTGTTTCCCCCTTCTTCTGCAGTCCCTTTAAACCAGCCTGGTTTTAAAAGACTGCAGAAGAAGGGGGGGAACAGCTGGGAGGTGGGGAGCAGTCTCCCAGCCCCTCAAATGTTTTCCTTGATTTTAAACCAGGCTGGTTTAAAAGGACTGCAGACAAAAATTGAGGAAAACAGCTGAGAGGCTGGGAGACTGCTCCCCACCTCCCAGCTGTTTCCCCCTTCTTCTGCAGTCCCTTTAAACCAGCCTGGTTTTAAAAGACTGCAGAAGAAGGGGGGGAACAGCTGGGAGGTGGGGAGCAGTCTCCCAGCCCCTCAAATGTTTTCCTTGATTTTAAACCAGGCTGGTTTAAAAGGACTGCAGACAAAAATTGAGGAAAACAGCTGAGAGGCTGGGAGACTGCTCCCCACCTCCCAGCTGTTTCCCCCTTCTTCTGCAGTCCCTTTAAACCAGCCTGGTTTTAAAAGACTGCAGAAGAAGGGGGGGAACAGCTGGGAGGTGGGGAGCAGTCTCCCAGCCCCTCAAATGTTTTCCTTGATTTTAAACCAGGCTGGTTTAAAAGGACTGCAGACAAAAATTGAGGAAAACAGCTGAGAGGCTGGGAGACTGCTCCCCACCTCCCAGCTGTTTCCCCCTTCTTCTGCAGTCCCTTTAAACCAGCCTGGTTTTAAAAGACTGCAGAAGAAGGGGGGGAACAGCTGGGAGGTGGGGAGCAGTCTCCCAGCCCCTCAAATGTTTTCCTTGATTTTAAACCAGGCTGGTTTAAAAGGACTGCAGACAAAAATTGAGGAAAACAGCTGAGAGGCTGGGAGACTGCTCCCCACCTCCCAGCTGTTTCCCCCTTCTTCTGCAGTCCCTTTAAACCAGCCTGGTTTTAAAAGACTGCAGAAGAAGGGGGGGAACAGCTGGGAGGTGGGGAGCAGTCTCCCAGCCCCTCAAATGTTTTCCTTGATTTTAAACCAGGCTGGTTTAAAGGGACTGCAGAAGAAGGGGGAAACAGCTGGGAGGTGGGGAGCAGTCTCCCAGCCTCTCAGCTGTTTTCCTCAATTTTTTTCTGCAGTCCTTTTAAACCAGCCTGGTTTAAAGGGACTGCAGAAGAAGTGAGGGTAAACAGCTGAGAGGCATGGACCAATCTCCCAGCCTCTCAGCTGTTTTCCTCAATCTTCCTAGTTCCCAAAAATATCTTGGATTTTTTGGGGATTCTTTTTCGGTTTTCCAAAAAAATTCCAGATAATTTTGAAATGGCAAAATATACCCAAAAATACCGCTAAGGTGTTTTTCATGTATATTTTTTGCTCAGGAAGATCCAAATGCACACCCCTAGTTGAGCTGTTTTGAATATTGGTATGAAATGGGGAGAGGCATATGTCAACACTCTGTAAACTTGAAGACCAACTGCTGGATCAGCCCTTAGTAGGAATGCTGAGAGCCTTGGCACAAACATGGTAGCCAGATGGACCTACGGTATCCTTATGTAAGTTGGGTTAGGAGAAACCCAGGGAATGATGAATGATGAAGCCTCTCCTACCTCCATGCTTGAGCTCAGGAGCCCATGTCCCCACATATACCATTTCAAAGGTTAGTGTTGCTCACACGTTAAATGCAAGTTGGGTTGGGGCAACTCATGTTTAATCTCACATCTAATCAGACCCTTATCTTTTTTGAACTCCCTCACTTATGTGTAACACAAGTTCTTGGTCAGATTGCCTTCATATTTAATGTCAAAAATAATCTCAAGCACGTTGCCAAGCAGTTTAGCACCTATACAGTAGCCATTTATACTTCAAGGGAAAAGCTAGGTCATGTCTTGCTAGTAAATAACAAATTTCTGTTGCAGCTTGGATGCTTTATTCTATTCATAGTTTGTAAACCAAATCTTCTTGATCACCATAGAAGCCGTACTTATTCCCTGAAGTCATGGTCAAGTCATTTAAGGCACCTATTTACCATGTACAAAATTACTTGCATTTTATCTCTGCACCTGTTAGATGCATCTTCTAAATAGCCCTACAGAGGATATGTTGTCTGATTTTTGCATTTTTTGTCAGCAGAATCTACTGTGAAATGATAGCAAGAGCTGATTGCAAGATGAATCACCTATGTTCAGAAGCAGTTGCTGAGTGATGGAGTTAGAAGGCACACAGAGACACTTAAGTAGTAAGTCTCTTTGTGTTATCTTGGTTGATCTTGATAAAAGGTATTTACCTGGCTTTAGTTTTTGGATTTTTCTAAGAGGTGTCCTCAATTTTCTGCACTTGAAGAAAACCATTCTCATAGGGATCAGACCCCGATGCATAAGTATATGAAACACATCATCACTAATGTAATCACAATATAGAAAAATTACTTGTTTGCAGACAGACCTTCAGCAATGTATCTGGTAAACGTAGCAGCTGCAAAATGGGACTTGTGTTATGTTGAAATACATATTGAGGTCCCAAGCTGAGACCTTTGTGTTTTTAACATCCAGTCTGATTAAGAAATCTGGAGGACTCCAAAGTTTTCACTTTTTGTTTGTTCATTTTGGTTGATCTTAAGCAAAGGAATTACATAATTTTGGATTTGGATTTTCCTATGAGGTGTCCTCAGTTTTATATACTTCCAAAAGCAACATTCTGGAAAGTGTTCAGACCAGACGGGTGTATGTGCTTGCTAGATGCTTGTTTGGCTCACAACCCTGAAACATATAATCAGTAATCTAATCACAACATAGAAAAAAAATGTTTCCATACAAACCTTCAGAAATATGTCTGGTAAGCGTAGCAGCTGCAAAAGAGGAGCTATACTATATTGAAGTGTATATGGAGGTCCCAAGGCAAAAAGCATCTTAACTTTTGAAGCAAGTTGAGGCAGTACCGAAAATGCAAAGAAGACTAGAAAAACAAGAAACACTTATTTGACATGCTTTTAAAATAAGTAATGAAACAATACACTAGCTTTAAAATGAAGCTTAACAATGTTGATATTCAATGCAAAAAATCACCTTTGCGAGGAATGCCAGACACAGATCAGCATTGCATTCAACTTTCCAAATCAATGCATCAGCGATTGAATATCCTATTGTGCCAAAATCTGCATTATGCAGGCAGCCAGGAGCTGTTTAAGAACGGGGATATCCCACACCACACTAATCCTTGTCTTTGAAATACAGTAAACCTTTTAACGTTTCCCCTCTGTTTCTACTGCTTTTGGTCAATGTAGGCCCTGTTCATACGAGGGGTTTTGGGCCGGGAGAGGGACAGATCGGGGCCGCAGCAAACGGGCGCGATCCCACAGCAACATCTGTGAATCGTGCTGCACCCGTCCCCCATCCGTCCCTCCCGCCGAAAAAGCGCACCAAAAATGAACCACCTAACTGGGTGGTTCAATCGAAAGGGCCGCGGCAAGTGCGGCCGTGGGATTGCCGACGCGTCCTTGTGCCAGTGCATCCCCGGCCCCCGGGCGAACTGCGCATGCTCGAGCATGCGCAGTTTGGCAGCCTCCCCCTCCCACTCGTCTCTTCCTCCCCGGCATCTGATCGTGCCGGGGAGCAACGGCGCGCAGCTCACGGGATCCATGGGATCCCGCTCGCAGCATCTTTATTTTAGTGCGGCTCTAATTAGCCGCACTTTCACCAGCGTTTTCCCTGCCATGTGGCAGGGGCTATAACAGAGACTAGGATACAAACGTAGCTAACAAATGATAAAACATTATTTTTCCACATGGGTGTACGTTCTGCACATACCTATGGTGCTTCCCTCAGCATGGGCCACACAATAGATTCTTTCCTGTCCAGTTTTCTGCAGAATAAAGTCTATGAAGGCTGGAAAGTCATAGATAGCCAGTTCATGAAAACTAAAAACAAAAATAAAATGCACACCAGTGGGTAAGAAGTACATTCCTGAGCTTCCTTCAGATGCTTTGCCTTTGTCTCCACAAAATACCAATTAATCATATTAACATAACAGACAAGATGAATAAGCCATCTTCACATCCCTACAGTTTGCTTATCGAAAGTGATATAGCAGGTTTTTCTTTGGCACCACCATGGCTTCCAGCTGCAAGTAAATAGATCAAGGTAATACTCATATGAGCACATGTTAGGGTTGCCAGGTCCCTCCCTACCCCAGGGGGGAACTTTGGGGACATGCCAGGAGGGGGAGAGGATTCCCCAACAGGATAATGTCATGCATAACTGACATCATCACATTGGGGACGCAGCCCCTTGCAAGGGGCAGCGGTGCCCACTCACAAGAAACCATTTAAAGGGAAGCTTCCCTTTAATTTTGTTTTTGTGTGAGTGGGGGCTGGCTGCCCACCCATGCCTGAACTCAAAGTGGCAAATTTACTGGTTGGAATTCAGCTGTGGGTGGGCCTTACCTGCAAGAAACCATTTAAAGGGAAACTTCCCTTTAAATAGTTTTGTGCAAGCAGGGCTGGCTGCCCACCCACATTTTGTGCGAATAGTTTTGCCTCTCAGTTTTACTGACTGAATGATGTGGCACATTGTCCATTAAATGTAGCTGGATTTCTATTTTAGCAGCCTTCAGGGAGAAAGTTTCTATATTGGAAGAGGACATGGTCAAGAAAGCTAGCTGCCTATAAAACTTAATACCTTCTTTGTCTCTGATTTTAGTTGATGTTATGGTTTCAGGTTTGAGCCCTTCCACGTTGTCATTTTTGTCACTCGTTTGTCCGTATTATTTCACAGTTCCCCCTCCCCAATGTGCTTTGCTCTCTCCAGTAGTCCCAGAAGGTGCAAAACACATGTGGAAAAGGGGGGGGACAACTCGAAGCAATAGGGACAAAAGAGTGACAAAAATGTCTCCCACTGCGGGAGAAGGGCAGATTAAAAGTACCTTAAATATATATATAGTCACTCTTCTGACCATTTTCTTTGAGTCCAGAAGCCATTATTACATCTTTGAGTAAGAACAGTTTATTGACATATATAAGCATAGGAAAGGGCCAGTGAGAGAGGTCTAGTGGTTTCACAAGAGTCTCTGTCCCACAGTTAGGCTTGAACTATGAGTTGCACTTAGTGTTGCCAGACACACACCTAGAACCCCTGGGAGACTTCTGGGGGTGGGGCAAGGGGGAAAGGATATCAGTGACATTTTGACATCACTTTTTGGCTGGAGGATTTTCCCTGATCTCTAGGGTAAAAACCATAAACACTGAGAAGATTCCCAGAGCATCACCAGTGTCATTTCTAGATTTCAGCCAGAAGAAATGTTGATTCTTGTCTGATATCCTCCCCTTTCCCCATCTCAAGTATATTCAATTGAGCACTAGTTGGGAGGGGGAGTATTACTGGGAATTTGCCCGCAGATGGTAGGCAAGTGGCAAGTCTAGGTGTGCTTCCCTTCCTTCTAGCACTTTTCTTTCCAGGCCAGCTGGTATATATTGATTTAGAAAATTCCTTTGCTGCCTCTCCATAGAATCTGCTAAGGTTGTTAAATGTATACATGTTGTGTGCTTGTTGAAGGGAATAGAGTTGTATTCATACAGGTATACCATTGCACCTCTGTGGTAAGTCCCTATGCTGCACTGTTCCCAATCATATGGAAGAGCATACATACATAATGGCTCACTAGATACTGAGCTAAAACTGGGAGTGGGGCCAGCAGACAGAATCCTGATCCCCTCTATACATGTATTTTAATCCTTGCTGAGCCCCTCCCCCCCACAAAAAAGCTATCTTCATAGGATGACTCCCTGCATCCCAACTAGGGAGAGGTCAGTTGACTCACTGGGGCATCTCCTTCCAGGTTCCCAGGACTAATTATTCCAACCGCTACACCCACTGGATTGTGGAAGTACAAACCTATGATATTTTTTAAAGCAAAATCCCTCTGCATTTGCTATCTTCTCAGCCACTGTGGAAAAACCAAGAAGAGGGGCAAATGCAGGGATCTTTCTTCTGACTGTTCATCGACTATCCTAGATATCAGATTTTAATCCAAAGAGATGTGGGGAGGGGGACAAAAATACACCATTATAGGATTGCCTAGTTCAATTGAAAAATGAAGCCATCTTGTGAGTAAGATTATTACTGCTCCATCAAGTGCAGTACAGTTTGACTGGCAGCAGCTCACCAGGCTGTCATTTATAGAACAGTCCTTCCAAGCACCTTCTACCTGAAACCTTTCAGCCAGCGATCATCTTCATGCAAAAGGAATTGGATCACGTCCTGGCAGGCCTGTAGCTACAGTGGGGCATCTTGGGGCTAGGCCCCCTGACTTACTGGCAAGGCCCCATGATTTCTCATCCAACCCAGGGCCCCCAAACAGTGGCAGGTGCAGGGAAGGAGCCGGGTATTCCTTTAATTCAATTAGCCAGTGCCCCCCTAAGAAATTTAAATGCCCCCCAACTTAAAAAAATCCTGGCTACGGGCCTGCTTCCAGGAAGCTCTTGCAAAATTCTCTTACAAGGGCTCTTGCAAAAAAAGAAGAAGAAGAAGAAACTGGTTATATTACTATACTTTTCACATATTGTACAACTATATGATTTGATGACCCAGACCATCGGTCTATTATGGTATTTTCTTACTCTTTTTCCAAGGAGCTCAGGATAGCAAACACAACAATGCTATGAGAAATGTTAAAACATAAGAACATAAGAGAAGCCAGTGTTGGATCAGGCCAAAGGCCCATCCAGTCCAACACTCTGTCACACAGTGGCCAAAAATACCAGGTGCCATCAGGAAGTCCATCAGTGGGGCCAGGACACTAGAAGCCCTTCCACTGTTGCCCCCCCAAGAACCAAGAATACAGTGCATCACCTGCCCCAGCCTGTGAGTTTTTATCTATATCTTGTGGCTAATAGCCACTGATGGACCTCTGCTACATATGTTTATCCAGTTCCCATTTGAAGCTGTCCATGCTTGTAGCTGCCATCACCTCCTGTGGCAGTGAATTTCATGTGTGAATCACTCTTTGGGTGAAGAAGTACTTCCTTTTATCTGTTCTAACCTGACCGCTCAGCAATTTCATGAAGAGCCCACAAGTTCTTGTATTGTGAGAAAGGGAGAAAAGTACTTCTTTCTTGACCTGCTATCCCATGCATAATCTTATAAACCTCGATCATGTCACCCCTCAGTTGTTGATTCTCCAAGCTAAAGAGCCCCAAGCGCTTTAACCTTTCTTCATAGGGAAAGTGTTTCAACCCTTTTACCATTCTAGGCTGAAAAGGAGCGACTAGCCCAACATCACCCAGTGAGCTTGAGGGCAGAATGAGGATTTGAACGTGGGTCTCCACGGGGCCTATATTAATATTCTAATGCCTACTATGCACCAGCTCTCCTTCAAATGAATATCATATTTGTACTGAAATTTCCAATTTCACACTAGATTACATTGCTAGAAGGATGAAGGAAGAGGTGGGAAGTGGGATCTTTTTGTCCTCTAGACTTATATGTCCATGTGAACGGTTTTGCTTTAATGATTCAAAACTAATGGCACATAAATGACATTAACTTAATTGACAACTCCCTGTCAAGAAAGAACATACTTTGGATGAACAGAATAAAATTCTAATGACAGCTTGAATGCCATAGGTCAATAATTTTTCCTAAACTTACCTAAAATCCCAAAATTCTTGTTGGTCAATTGTAAGATATTCGTGTCTTCTAGACCATGAATTCCCTCTGTTATTTCCAATCCACACATCATATCCACCATCAGCTAATATGAAGGCTGGGCTAGACCTGGGAGGGTTTGCTACCAAGCTACCACCCTCTACATCCAGGGAATGTATCAGTAATACAGCACCCTTTGAACCTGAAAAATAAAATTAATATCTGTGTATTGCAGGGTAATTAACTTCAAGGTGGAGCCTGTTGTTCTTCCAAAATTACAGCTGATTTCCAGACTATGGAGCTTGGTTCCCCTGCAGAAAGTACTGGCTTCAGATGGTGGACAACTCTATGACATCCCATCCCCTTCCCCCCAAAAAACACCTTTACCCTCTTGAAAAAATTCGTCCATTGATATACTAAAATTCCAAGATGGGTGTCTCCAATTGAAGCTTTCTCACAACCAACTTTGACTTCAAAACAAGCAGTTATTAGGTACACAGAACTGTTAAATGATGGAAATAATTTAAAATCCCAGGAAGAACTAAAGAAAAATGAAATAAACTTAGACTGGTGGACTAGAATGCAGGTAGAATCTAGATATAGTAAGCATAAATAGGCAGATGGATTTATTCAGAACAATGTACATTTGAGAAATTATTATGTACTTCAAGAGAGAAACTTATTACAAACATGTATGGTATGTTGATGCAATTGAAAATGTAGGACGAATTAAAGAATGTATGATTAGATGGATGCAAAATGTGGGGTATAACATCGATCTCTCACAGTGGAGTAAAATATGGAAAGTGACTATTAAGTTGACTAAATCTGCTTCATTAAAAAAACTTATATAAAATGTTTTATAGGCATTTAACCCCAGACAGATTAGCTAAAATGTATAAAAACTTGAGTAATATATGTTGGAAATGTAACAGCCATATTGGGTCGTATTATCATATGTGGTGGACATGTAAAAAGGTTCACAAATTTTGGATTGAAATGCATATTTTCTTACAGTCAATCTTGAATGTCACAATACCTTTTAAGCCAAAGATATTTTTGTTAAACTGTATACCAGACGAGTTAGATAAGAACCATAAATATTTTATTTTACATGTTATAACAGCTGCCAGAATTTTATTTACAATGACATGGAGGACACTGCAAATTCCAACACTACGTGAGTTGATACCAAAGATTATGGAATGTGCTGAAATGGACAAGTTGACAAATATATTAAAAGGAAAAACAGAAGAAGAATTTATGGGACTCTGGAGGGCATTCTATGACTGGATAAAACTCAAGTATTGAGAAAATAAGATTAAGTGAAAAATAATAAGAATGATAGATGAAATAGTTGTGAAATTCTAATGAGAAGATATGCATGCAGAATGCTAACTTGGAACTTGACTATTTTTATATCCTTCCCCCCCTTCCTTTCCCCTTCCCTACTTTCTTTATATAAACTAATAAAATTCTTTATTTAAAAAGAAACCTTTACCCTCTCCAAGCACCACCCTTGAATCTCCAAGAATTTCTCAAGCTGAAGTTGTCAATCTTACTGTAATATGGCATGTAAAATACAAAAATCTACAGTAGTACGGTGCAGTAGTTAGGTTGGGTGTGGATGTGAGGAAGTTCAAAGCAGAATACTCATTTCTCTTTCCTCAAAAAAAGAAATATAAGGCAACTGAACTCCCAAATACCCCATTTCCTTACTGTCCCTTCAGGGAAAGCTATTTCAGAAAAATAATTAGTAATGGAGAAGCAGTTTGTGTGTGAGTGTATGCTTAATCTTCCTAGCCCAGATTATCACATCTGCCCCCTCCTCACCACAAAGAGTTCCAAACCTATAGCTAATTCTGAATAATTTTCTCAGACTAAAGATCAAAAACTCTGCATAATGTACAAGGAAGGGGATTCTGTAGGCCTGCAGGAAGCCTGCAGTTCCTTGGGGCTGGTACACTTCCCCCTCACTTACTGTCTCACTGGGGGAGGCCAACCTCCCTTTCTGCAGACCCTCAGCCTGGCTAGAGCAGTTCTCAGCCCTGCCCTCAGCACAAGGCCTCCTAGATATAGTGTAGGCTACAAGTAACTGTTATGTATTGCATTGTATATAACTGCTATGTGAACTGTGTAAATACTGATGTGTGAATCGACTGATTGAAACACCATGTTGAGCTTCATCCTGGGCTAGGATCCTAATGTAACCAGTAGGAGCCCTAGCCCAGAGAGTGTCTACCAATCACGCTGTAAAGCGGGACCGCTTGTGATTGGGCATTATGTCTTCAACCTCATAGGTTGTTATTTGTACAGGGGGTGTGGCTAAACTTTAACCATGGACAGTGTAGTCCAATTACTACATTTTAATAGATAATGGAGATACTGTCAATGACTACATGCATCCAGGATGTCTGCATGTTTCATAGCCTTCTTCCAGGTTGCAAATTATCAATGGAACTACATAAAAAACAAAAACAAAAAAACACAATAAACTCTACCATCACAGTGCTACAATCATGGAATTATGGCACTGAGCCATTAATGACTCACCCAAAGCTCAGGAGTAATTATTTTGATAAGCAGTAAAAATGCCATCTGTACTCCCATTTGGCAAGTAGGTTCTCAAAGTTCGAAATGAAAACGAGAGTAATTTAACTTCCCAATTCTATAGCCTCAATGATTACAGGCATCTGGATTTAACAATAGCATGTGTAATTAAAGGTACAGTACCCTAAACACAATCAGCAGATTTAATTTATATAGCATGCAATACCTCAGCTCTTCTTGCATACTAAACTTCCTTATGGGCAATTTTTTCATGTCAAAAGAAACTCTACTTTGCAATCTGATTATATTAAGGATAGTGGAAAACTTGCTGAACTATTTTACACAAGGGATTACCCTGAGTGGGTAATAAAGAGAGCAGTACATAAATTCCAATCTATGGGTGAGAATATATCTATAGTTATAGGTTAGGGCAGTATAAATGTGGGGTATGTTTAACATGCTCATTAACCATGGAATCAAAAGAGTTCCAGCATCCTAATGGCCATTTTACTTGGAAATTGAGACATTTCAGTACCTGCAATTCAAAGCAGGTCATATATGTTTTAAAGTGCCCTTGCAACCTATTGTACATAGGGTAATATATGTGGAGCATAAAAGTATGGATCCTTGAACATATATCAAGGATCCACAATAAAATTCTTGAAGCCCCAGTTGTTCCTCATTTTGTTGAATTTCAACACCCACTAGAAGACCTGAGGTATTGAATGCTATATAAATTAAATCTCCACCCACTTGACATTAGAGATACTAAGATCTTGGTATTACAGAAGGAAGCATTCTTTATACACAAGTTTCAGACATTGTCTCCTAAAAGTCTCAGTTTATCTTTAGATGTGTATGCTTTTATGTCGTTAACTTCACTGCTGATTGTATTTAGGGTACTGTTCCTTTAATTACACGTGCTATTGTTAAATCCAGATTTAATGCTGAAACCGAGCTCCAGTACACTAGAAATATTATTCTGCCACTATTAGATTTACTTCAGTATTTCCCACACATTTTCAAATATGTATTTACAGACATATGGGCTAAAATGTGTTTATTTGTTTGTTTTAGATAGGGTAAAATGTGCAAGTACCACACACTTGCCAAAACCTTTCAGGCTTCTTGTTCTGGGGTGATTCATCAAAGGTTCATTCTCAGAAAATAGTAGGTCCTTTGTATGGTTATGCTGAGCACCTTTAATTCAGGATGATTGATTTTTATATTAGTTAGAGCATGAGTAAGAGACTGCAGACTGGCTAACATGTTCTCTTGTTCCTGTAAGGTAGGGATGCCAGCCTCCAGGTGGGACCTGGGGATTCCCTGGAATTACAGCTCATCTCCAGACTGCAGAAATCTGTTCCCCTGGAGAATACTTGGAGGATGAACTCTATGGCATTGTGCCCCACTGAGGTCCCTGTCCTCCCCAAGCTCCACCCCAACCTGGAGCTGGCAACCCTAACACCTCATCCCCTGCTGGTGGCCAGGGGGGACTTGGCAACTCTACTGGAAGGGGAAAACTCCAAAAGAGGCAATTAGATTCTCTTCATGATAATCATGATTAAAGGGATCTCTTGGGGGAAAGAAATGTAATTTAGATCTTTCACCCTTAATAAATCCAGGAACCCTTTCCAAATATTTTAGATGAATTGATGAAAATGCCTTTCATTTCAGTCAACCCTTTACCAGTAGGGATGTTATGTAAAAATAAAGATGTCAAACATTTTTTTAAGGGTCTTTTGACTGCAGAGTCGGAACAGCCCTTTTCACTTGGTTTGGCTAAGTAAATATCAATCTCCTCTTTGTGTGATCAATATTTTCAAATATTTTTGTAAAGTTTCTGAGATTAAAAGAATTTGAGATGCTAATATAGTTAATATCACTGATCTCTTATTTGTGACAGCATTCCTCCCCCCCAGGATCTCATCAAAGGCTTCCAACATTGATTAGAGGGTCCTGTTGGGAACACACTGAAAGATCATTAGAACTGCAATGGGCTGGAACTTCATTAGATAAACAGTCAAATCTGCTGGAGATAGTTGTCGGTGAAAGATTTTTAAAGAATTCTTCCATTTTGCTCTGCTTACAAACAAAGCATATGTCCTTCAAAGGGTACTGCCCTTCTCTTTCTCATATTAAAGACTGAACATTACAATTTTATAGAATGTAATCCTGAACAATAAAATAGTTATTATGGTTATATAAAATGTATTGTTTTCGTTCATAGTTATTTTCATCTTGTTATTCTAATTAATCTAGTTGATTAATCTAATTAATTCAAACAATCTAATTGATCCAACTAAGTCCCATAAGATTTTGAAAAAAATATTAGACAAATGTTAGATATGACTCATGTGAAACAAAGCAATCAAGAGCTAATATATTATTTAAAACAAACAAACCCAAACCTAGCAAATGAAATGTAGATATAGTAAACCCTAACAAATGTATTTATTTATAGTTTATTTTTAAGATGAAAAACTCATATGGGTGAGTCTCCCTTCATTCAAGAAAAGGCTTATTAACATGCCAGCAATTGGCTTCAAAGTCTAGTAAACACAACAGTCACTCACCAAGCTGGTCAGGCAGACAAACAAGTAATGCATTAAATCATTTAAAAGGAAGTTATGGAGGTAAGGGAAGAACCATCAAACAAAACTGCACTTGTTTCTGGAAGCCAGGAAAAAAATTAAAATAGAATGAAAGCAGAAAAAATAGACCCCTCCAATTTAGGTAGCTCAGCTTCCTCAGAAGACAGCAGGAAAATGCTATCTAAGCTATCTAAGTTAGCCAAAATCAGCCTTATACTAACCAAAATAAATCATTCAAAAATACCAAAACAAAGGAAAAGAAAGAAAAAGAAAAGAGAAAGGGCTAATAGACTCAAAAGCACAGCTGGTGAGTTAAAACAAATTGACAGAATTAAAACAAATCTTCTTGGAGTGGAGCTATGTGCAGCTACACCACCACCCAACCCATCTGGCACAAGCTAAAATGAAACTAAATATCAAACTGCCGAATAAATGTCAATAGAGGGAGGAAAGCAACAAAACAGATAAGAGTAAACTAAGCATTAAACAACCTACACAGAGAGCAACTACACTTGACTAAAATGCCTCCCAGCCCAACTGGGGGTCTGATAAAATAGATAAAATATGGAAAATAAACATTCTAAAACCATTGACTCAATGGGAAAAAAGTTTAAAAGACCTGCAAGCCAATAAAAAGATAAAACAGATTAAAAGGAATTTAAAAACAAATAAAGTACATTCTGCAGAGCAGAGCACAGTCAGAACACCAATCCTCTGCCCAAACAGAACCACTAACGATTCCAAAGTATAGAAGGGCATTCATGCTTGTGAGCCTGAATGCCTTATTTTCAGCGGTGATGTTAGGAAGACTCAATGGAATTCCATATTCATATAGACTCTGCAATTGTGGCAGCAACAGAATCAATTCTGCAGATCATTTTTTTTTTTGACTGCCTGATTTTCAGATTTAAGAGCCAAATTAATATCTCCATTATTTAATCAGGACTTTGTCTCTTCAGAAGCTAAATCATCTTGGTTACTCAGGGATAAAGATAAATTACTTGTGGGTGGCAAAATTTCTGACAGCTGTTGTTAAGTGACCCTAAAGTGATAACTTTTGTTGTAACTTTTAGGCCCTCTACTTTAGGGTGCAGATTTGCTGTTTATGACCCTGATTGTGAAAACAGTAATTAAGAAGTAAGAAATACATAATTTTCAAGACGCAACTCATTGACTTTGAAACTATATTCGCACTATATAACTCAGACCCTGGCCCCAATATTAACACCATCATCAACATCATTATAACATCATTTAAACAGCCGAATATAACCCAGAGTATGCTGGCAGTTGATTGTTTGTATTGTTGGATGCTACTCTTGCTCATGCCTGCCATCATATATGAAGCTTTCTAGCACAAGCACTTTGTATGTTTTTTTATCTGTATTTTGTTGTGATTTTAGATACATTTGTTTGAGTTGTTTTTATCGTATGTAAGCTGCCCTGAACCTGCCTTGGCAGGGAGAGTGGGGTAGAAGTTAAATAAATAAATAATAAACTCCAGGGACTTGCCAAAAACATTTGAGGTATGGATCTGTGATTTCAATTTTAGAAGTTAAGAATCATTTTGAGCACCTCCATATCTTCAGCGTTACAAAAGTAATGGTTCTGTGCTTTTTCATTTCATTTTGTTCTTTTCTGTACTCCTCAAAAATCACGGCTCATATAAAGACAAGACTCATATATCATTAGATTTAATACTGAAATTAGCCTCAGAGTGTGGATCAAAAAATCCACTCAACTGAGCCATGTACAGAGATGGAGTATTCTTATACAACCCTGGAATCTGAAAAAATATATATAAAATGTAGTGCAGATTTGCAGAAAAATATAAAATGTAGAAAGTGGGGTGTTTAAAAACCCTGAAATACGAGCTTCTGGTACGGTGCAGTGAGCAAGCGGGTGCTCTTTGGGACTCCCGAATCGCCCGCTCCCCTCTTTGCTCTTTTAGTGCTTTCCCGGTACACCGGGGGCATCGCCCAACCTCCTGGACGGAGGTGGGGTAGCAGGGGGCTTCACTTGGCTACCTCCCGCACATGGCAAGTGTGGGGTGAGCTGTTTTTTGCCTCGAAGCAGGAGCAACCGAGGGAAGGAAACATGGTTCCCATGTTTTCAATTAGCTGTGACCAGCCGTTTTAAAGACCATTTCATTCATGGTTTTTCTTTTTCTTTTTTGTTTTGTCTTGCAACAAAGGGATTATTTTTTGTTAATATAATACAAAGAAACTAAGTACTGTAAGAAGGATTGGGGCAGTCTATTAATAACTTTTTACTCTCAGAAAAGAAAATGAGTGGTAAAAGTTAATTTATATCTGACTTTAGATCATCTTTAATTTTGAGTATTTGATTTTTGGGCTAATTATATGCTTGGTCACTCCCCAGTATATAGTTATACACACCTGAGTTATTTTTTTAAAAAAATCATTTCTAATGTTGTTCACAGAGGTTATTATAAAGCAAAGAAATGAAATAAAACTAAAGATTTAAGTATTAACTTGCTTTTAGAATATAATATATAAAATACACGGTTAAGATTGGAAAATAAGGTCATGGACCTGTTTGGGTCTAGTTAAACATTTGGAAAACTTTAGCTGAGAAGACTGTTGAAAAGCTCAGCTGCAGTTGGTATCCGCTGAATTAATTAAAAGAAGAAAATGTGATAGAAAATTATTGTAGAATGTAACTCTGAGAACCTCTATTTTTTTGGGTTGAAATGTAGGTGGATGAATTATGAGAGATATCCGTTGCTTTACAGTGAAAAAGATAAATAAGATATGAAGAAATATTTTAAAGTAAATTTAGTTTATTGCAATGATGTAAAATGTAATCCTTGGTTGGGTGTTTGTTTGTTTTGTTTTGGCTTTAAAAATCAATAAAGAAATTATTTTTAAAAAACCCTGAAATACATAATACTGTCCATTGAGATGTATATTCCCTTGTTTTTCTTTACCTCCTGGAATCCGGTTTAGGCTCAGGTAATACCCATCAGCTGTAAGCACTTCATATTCTTTTGAAGGATACCCCCAGTACTGAATTCTCTCACTCTGCAAGGATACAAAGACAAACGTTAGGCCAACATAGGCAAATGTGCAAAGCAGATGTAGGAAGCAGAGGAGGACTTTCTCACAAAGTAATGAAATCATCATCCATTAAGCTACATCTAATATTCTCTGTAAATATGGGTGGCAGCTAATAGTTATATTTGGGAACCATGAGTTCCAAAGCTGACTAGCAAAAATCAGATAGTGATGAAACAAGCAAGTGAAGTTTGCAAGAGGATGGAAAATACACAGTCCCTCTCAAACCATTCTCTGACATGTTGGAAAACACCTGTGCAAGATATACCAAACCCCCTCATGGGCACCCTGAACTACACAGACAAAGGCCCAGCATCTGACAACACAGAGAGTCAAATGTTCATGACAGGTCCTTTTTCATGTGTTGTATTACGAGTAATACAAATATCACTTTATGAGGCAGCTTGAGGAAACACAAGCAACCACAAGGATGTATTATGAGCAGTTGCCCTCAAGGAAGAGTAATTATACTCCAAACCCGTTGCATGTTTCTTTATAATACATATTTCAATAACGCCTGTTTGAAGGTTACCAATATTATGTTCCTCATGTCAGCAGAGACCAATTATGAGTTTTTTAAAGTGCACAAGTAAGTAAACTGGAAATTCATAACATGTCATAGAGAAAAGTCATCAATTACTTTAATTGCTCCCTCCCAGATTACTCATTTGTGGTATCTCATAGCTTATTAAATGTTAACAAACGTGAAGTTGAGCAAACTCCGGAGGATGACGGAAGATAGGAGAGCCTGGCGTGATGTGGCCCATGGGGTCGCGAAGAGTCAAACTCGACTGTGCGACTGAACAACAACAACAATGAACTGAAGAATTTATAATATTTATTAATGCACTGGACGGGGAGAGAAACCTCAGTCTGACTTGCAAAACAATCTGGAATGAGGATCATGCAAATAAACTGACAGCCATTTTTTAAAATTGAAATCATTCTGAGAAAAGAACATACATTCAGTATGTGGCTTTTATCACCAGCATCTATGGAACCCCATCAAGGACAGCATTTTACCTTGTTATAAAAACATTGATATCTCACCTTCTCTCTTTAGACTCAAGGACAGTAACAGTGCATCAACTAGGATTGCCAACTCTAGGTTGGGAAATTCTTGGAGATTTAGGATTAGACCCTAGGGAGGGTGGTGTTTGGGGAGGGGAGGGTTCTTAACATAGTATAATGTCATACAGTCCTTCCTCCAAAGCAGCCATTATCTCCAGGGGAACTAATCTTCATTAGTCTGGAGAACAGTTGTGCTTTAGGGAGATCTGCAGGCCCCACTTGGAGGTTGGCATCTCCAGGTTGCAATGACAATTTAGCATCTCTCCTTTCTTTCCTTTCTTTCTTTCTTTCAAGCTCTTTTGATCCAATGATCTTGAGCAGCGGATAAGGACTCTTTATTTCTTTAAGGAAAATATGGTGGAGAGATATTTGGTTGCAGCCAGTGTAGTCCTGTGACAGTCAATCCACCAACAGATAAGGAACTATATTATCTTTTAATGAAGTGGGAGGTAATTTAGTTAAAATAGGGGGTGATCCATAACTCATGATAAGAGTTCTGAGGGCATTCCAATATTTTATGGGACAAGGAGTCAACTTTTTTTCAAATTGCATTGGTAGAGTCTATCCAAATAAGGCAAATTACAGTATCTCCCATATAGGACTGCTGAAGGGGCAGCGTTTAGGCATGGAAACATGAATGCTCTACAGTAACAAGGAACTGTTAGGGATTTAATGTAGGCTTGGATGGTTGGAGGTAGAAGGATGCCAAAGAACTGGGTGAGAGCATACTCTCCAAGCTTGTATACCTGAGCTAAAGTAATCTAGGTCTTTTATGGCTGCGGTCACATGGAGCATTAGCCATGCTACAGAGATGGAAAATAGGTGGATTTTCTGAGCGCAATCACACCGCAAAATCTGGGAAGCGTAGAGCTCCCGTGGCTAACCCGAGGCTTCCCGCCAAAGATGCAGCGTAAAAAACTAGTACCTCCAAGGTACTAGTTTCCTGAAACCGCGGGGCAAGGGCGGGCATCTGATCGCATTTCTGGTGGTAGTTCGTGGCATCCGGCGTCCTGTCGCAAAAAGTTTTTTTCCCCAAGCCTCCACGGGATGCGCACATGCACCCAACGGCGCATGCGCACACTTTGGTTTTAAAAAAACACAACCCCATTTGCCACGGCAGCGGCGCCTAGCCATTGCTGCTGTGATCGCGCCACGCCACTTCTTTGCCTCGCCACAGGATTGTCGTGTGATCGGCACCTCCCCCAAACCACGGGACATCGGCGGGACATGTGATCCAGTGGCCGCACATTAGTTTGCTCCGGGGCAAACAGCCACACTTCCCCCCCCTGCATTTTCCAGCCTTCGTGTTTCTTGATAGTAGAGATTCACTTTTCCCAAGTCTCAATATATCATCCTTAGTAGGGCAAGACTAGATTTCTTGCACCCAGCAGGAGTGGAACTGATCTTGATTCAGCTTGTAAAGCAGAACATCCTTCTTTGTGGAGAAAACAACCTTTAACCTATATTTAAATATATGAAACCATGCTTTGGCTTCAATACAGCCCTGGCCTAATTTTAATCTTAGAGCTATCCGCACTATACATTTTGGGGTTCCTGTAATATGTTGCAGAAAAAGTTAAAGGGGGTGATCTAAGTTCTCATTTACTCATTTACTGAAGCTCCATAAAAGAGTTGCGGAATGATCTTCATATTGAATACACGCAGACCCCTAGGGATATAATTGCCTCCCTTAGAGATGAAGAAGCATTCAGTTGCTGACATGGAGGTTTTAATGTTATTTATTGCAAATTTTAAATGGGATTGCCAGTTAAGATGGGGGATAAAAATTCATGCCCAGGTGTGGAAATTTAGAGACTTGTTCTAATTGGACACTGTCAATTTTCCAAACCAAGGAGGAAATTTTTTGGCTTTAGAGAAGACCATAACCTTAGATTTTATGTAAGTGATCTTGCATTCTTCATGTTTACAGTATTTTGAAAAGCAGTTTAGGAGTCTTCTCAGTCCAACCTGGGTGTGGGACATAAATATATTATCATCCATGTAGAGGAGCAGTGTTCGTGCCTTTGAGGATAAATAAAGATGGTGGAATTGTGCTAAAGAAACAGCAATTGCAAGGTCATTCAGGTACAAATTTAAAAGTAAAGGTGCTAAGAGGCAACCTTGTGTCACTCCTCTAGCAAGGCAAAAACATTCCGTAAATTCTCCCTTTTCTCCATAGCAAACTTGGACCAGACAAGTGGAGTAAAGATTTTTTTATTAGCCAGAGCAATCTTTTATCAGTTGAAGTATGTTCCAGTTTTCCACACAGTCTCTTCCTGGGTATGGTGTCAAAAGCTCTCTTAAAATCTATGAATGTGACATACGGTTTACCTCTAGGTGGGGAGGAGAATTTTTCAACTCAATGGGCTATAAGATCAAACAGTGATCTTGAGGTGTGAAGCCTGTTCTGAAGCCAATTTGTTCCCACCAAAGGAGGTTATCCATTCTTCTAATTTGAGGTATAAATATGAGGTATACAGCTTTGCCACTGTTAGGAGAAAATAAATGGGGTGGTAATTTGCTGGATCTGACTTGGAGCCTTTCTTGAAGATTGGAACAATAATAGAGAGTTTCCAAATTGGGGGAGTGTTCCCAGTAAGGTTGATCTCGGGGAAGACTGGAGCTAGAATCGTAGCCCATTATGCTGGATTAGTTTTAAACAAATTATTAAGTCCAGCCCTGGAGCTTCCCCTGAGCATAAAAAGGCTTAATCATGGAAATAACTTCCAGCTTTGTGATAGCAGGCCAGAAGTGGAGGTCAACAGGGGTCAAATCGCATTATGTAGTATTTTCAGAAGTGAATATCTTCTTAAAGAATAATACCCATTTGGGAGCAGAATACAGAAAGAAGGGGATGGTCTTCTGTCCAAATTTCTAGAGGTCAATGACAAAAAGAGGCTGGATTTTTTGTTATTAATTGTGGGAAACAGGAGGCCCCATGAGCTATGTGTTTCCTCTCTCTTTTTTCAGTCTAATGTTTTCCCATATTGAACATTAAGGTTCAAAGCAGTTTCTTTAGAATTCCCAATGTGTTGTGATAGGTTGCCTTCTTTAGGAATTTGCATTCACCATCAAACCAACTACTGGGTCTTTTGACTTCTTGAGTGTCCGAGTGTGGCTTGATGTATTAAGATTTGAAGATATTGAATAAAGAGTATAGAAAACTAGTAATGTTTTTGTTTAGCTTGCTCAAGAATGTTTTCCCTCCTTTTCCCAAAATTCTTTGGGTGTCAAGCAGTTTGATTGCTGCCTCCTTGATAGCAGAAGACTACTGAGTGCAGTTTATCAGTTTGATGGAACAAATGCTTATAAGGCAGATGACTATCCACAGAGATATAAAAGCTAAGTGACACTGGGAGATTGTCCCCCACCCTATATTCTTCCAGATTGACTTTCTCAACTACATTGAAATAATCAGCTGCAATGATGAAATAATCAATCAAACTGCCCCCCTTGTGACCAAAGGAAGTAAAGTAACTTTTTCCCATCAATTCCTCTTTGTCCATTTAAGATGACCAGCCCTCTTTGCATGGAAAAATAGAACAGTTTGAGACCTGCAGGGTTAACTGTCTTGTCTTTTGAGGATCTATTATACAGAAAGGGGAAAATAGTTTCTTCTGGTTCACAACTAAACATTTTTTTAACCAGAACCCCATCATCTTGACCAATTCTAGCATTGAGGTCATCTGCAATGAGATTGGGTAGTTAGAAAACCAATGGGTCAAGTTATCATAGGTTTCCAAAAAAAGAGGACCAATGGGAGGTCAGTACATGTCAATTTTGAGTTGAAGGGATATAGATTATATATTACTATAAAGGAAAAACCAGTCAGTTAAGAACATAAGAGAAGCCAATTTGGATCAGGCCAATGGCCCATCCAGTCCAACACTCTGTCACACAGTGGCCAAAACTGCCAAGTGCCATCAGGAGGTCCAGCAGTGGGGCCAGGACACTAGAAGCCCTCCCACTGTTGCCCCCCCAAGCACCAAGTTGTACCAGAACAGCTAAAATCAGATTGAATGAGGACACCACTTCCAATCCCAAGATATTGAGGGCAGATAATATGAGGCAAGCTAGAGTCGGATTCGACTGGCTTTCAAGCAAGGGAACCTTTACCTTTACTTTAACTCACTTCTTGGCCTCCCCCCCTTTCTCCCCCTTTTGAGCCTCCTTAGAGAAGGTAGTTGTTGTGTCTTGCCATTGACATGTAATGTAAAGCTTGAAACCTCAGCTGGATTGTAATCTGGAGCAACACCATTGGCCGAAGCATGTACTGTAACCAATGAAATGCAAGAGTCTGTGCTGGAGGGAAGGCAAATGATTGGTTGTTATATATGTAACATGATTGGATGTTAACTGTGTGAGGGTGTGGCTACACCAGCCCGGGAGAGTTTAAAAGGAGCTATGCTCCACTGTTATCGTGTTGTGTGGAGTCTTGTGTCGTCTGATGCTGTGTGATCTTTTGGAAGTTCTCGTTCTCAATAAAGCTGAATCACTTGTTACTTACTTCGTTGTTGAGTTGCATACTTAACAGTAGTATATCCTGGGAAAGTTATGGGATTACTTAGCCAAGTCTCTTGTATTCAAATAATATCAAAAGTAGATAAAAGGAGTTAACTTCTGGAAAAAAGCATTTGGTCAACCAGCCAGCCACATTTCAATTTAGAATTTTTAGATTGCTACAAGAGTATTGTCATTGCCTGTCAGGAGTGGCATTTTCAGTTGGGTCAGCTGAGAAGGCAACATTCAGATTTCCAGAGTGTATTTGAATTTTTTGTCCAAGGGGGATAGGTAAGAGTCAGATGATGCAACATCATGAAAGAGTTTCTTTACAAGGAAGGGAATAATCCCTCCCATGGCTTTGCAAAGGAGGAGGGTCCACTTTCTTCTGGTTTCCTCATAGGTTATTTGCTTATTGCTCTAGGTTGGGAGTTTCAGTATGATTCTAACATAGTAAGTTCTGCACTCTTATTATTATTATTGTCATTGTTGGTGGATTTTATTGCATTCCTTTGTTGGACTTTAATCAAGTGATCTCATAATTGTTCAAATCTCTTGATAATATCAGTTTGCTTTTCAAGAGGAAGGGCCTCAAAAAAGTTTAAGGAACTTTTATCAATAACATCCAGATCATTTTCCTTTGAAAGTACTGGAATACAGTTTTGGTTTTTCCTTACCCTTTGCAGTTCAAGTGCCTTTCTGTCCTCTTCTGGAGTCGATGGTTCAGTTCAATCAATTGATAGACTATCTGGAGCTTGGTGGGCCTGCCTCCTAGCTATTAGGGGTCTACTGCTATTGTTTTTATATAATTTGGACACTTTTGAGGAGAGTTTCAAGGGGAACTTGGGAGAAGAGGGGTGAGGAGTCTTTATACTGAATTTGTGCTTGGAAGTAAATTCTGCCTAATTAGCTCTTTGAGGTTACGCAACGTAAATCCCAGTTGTTGTGTCCAGCCACCAGTAAGCCCCTGTCTTAATTATGTTAAGATCTACTGTGTGTAATAATTCTGGGACCCCATAAACTTTATTTGGGATGTCTAATTGGGTGCTTAACTACTAGAGGTCATTGTTAAAATCAGCACTTTTAATGTTGCTACTCCCCCCATGGGGAAAAGATAAATGTCTACCCTGTCTCTACCTTAAAACAAATTAAAAACAAGTAAAAAACAGAACAGGGCAATAATAAAGCAAAGCAAAACAAAGCAAAATAAGGAAGGGTGGCAATGGCCACGGCATAGTAAACACCCTATCCCCATGAATTGTACTAAGCAGAGTCACTGCTTAATCGCACAGCCTAAATTAGAGGATTTTCCTTGTTGTTGAGTTCTCTTACTATCTAACTTCCTCAGCATTTTTTCAGCTTTAACAGTTTGGCTCTTATCTTCCTTTCATTGGCAATTAAGAGAGAGAATCAAAATTTTAAAAGGGAGGAATAAGAACTGCTGGTCAAAGTTCCTGAAAAGGCCTCCGAGCTACTCTACACTCCAATCACGCCAAAATGGGGAGGGGAGGAAGACCTCAACAATAAATCTCCAAAACAAAAGGAGGGGAAGAGAGAAAGAAAATAAAAAACAAGGACTTCGGAAGAAGTTGAATGAGTGTAGAAATAAATAAAATAGAATGGAATAAAGGAATCTATGTGGTTCCGTGATTAGGTAAGTATAAAATAAGATGAAATGAAGCTGGAGAGTAAATTTGGCCTCATTATGCAGCCACACCTGATCAAAAGAGGTGGTTTTTAGCGCAGAAGTCAAGGTAGGGAAGGGAAGGAATGAAGACATACAGCTGAATATGATTGGGTTAGATTGGCAAAGTAATAAAATAAGGTGTAATATCGATATGTAAACATAAATATATAGGATATAAAACAGAAGTATAAAATAAAGCAAGTGAAGGTAAATATAAAATAGCACAGCCTTTTATCGTTCCTATCACTCCTGTTGTTTCTATGAGAGACAAGTAAATAAATCAATCAATAAAATTGATTAAATAAAGTTAAAAATTTAAGAAGAGGAGGAGTTGGTTTTATACCCTAATCTTCACTACCTGAAGGAATTTCAGAGCAGCATACAATCACCTTCCCTTCCTCTCCCCAGAACAGACATACTGTGAGGTAGGTGGAGCTGAAAGAGCTCTGAGAGAACTCTGACTGACCCAAGGTCACCTAGCTAGCATCATGTGGAGGAGTGGGAAATTAAACCTGGTTCTCCAGATTAGAATCTGCCACTCTTAACTGCTACACCAAACTGGCTCTCAATAGAGAGTTAAAAGCAGGGGCCTGATAACCAGGAGAGGGGAGTGGAGAAAAGAGTTGTTGCCGCTGGCTGGGTGACAATCCAAACAAGACTAAAATGTACAGATAAGATAGAAAAAGAACTGCAGAACCTTGGTATACCTTAGTAAAAATAAAGTAAATAAAAGTAATAACAGGAAACAGAAAGTATAAACCCCCCAGTGGGGACATAGAAGGGGGAAGGGTAAGGTGAAAGGATAAAATAATAAACTAAAACAAGAGTTCTGGGAATGGAGCACAGCCTTGGGCATTTGTAATTTCGTGCCAGAAACCGGGTATTTCGATAACGAAATCTACAGTAGTATGGTGCAAATTAGCATCAACAAGTTGCAAAGACAAAACAATGTAAGGCCATTAACAGGATAAAAAACCAACATACAAGAAGAACCAATGCAAATTAAAAACAAAAACTCAAAACGCATACAGGAATAAACATTTGCTAGATTCTTAAAACAGAGCCTGTCTCTGGAGAAGTGGCTTATAAATTCCCTAAATAAACAAACAAATAATAAAATACTACTATAGGTGAAAGAGGATAGTCACCAAATGGCATATTTAGCAAGGGTGCAGCATGGTGGAGGAGGGACACTAGTCCATATGAAAAGCCAACTATGTGACAGAAGAAGAAGAAGAATACCCCACCCTTCACTACCCAAAGGTGTCTCAGAGCGGCTTACAAACTCCTTTCCCTTCCCCTCCCCACAACAGACACCCTTTGAGGTAAGTGGGGCTGAGAGAGCTCTTGACAGAAACTGCTCTTTTTTCAAGAACAGCTCTTATCAGAACTATGGCTTGCCCAAGGTCATCCAGCCAGGTGCAAGTGGAGGAGTGGGGAATCAAACTGGGTGTCCCAGATTAGAGTCCGAGGACTTAACCACTACACCAAACTGGCTCCAATTAAAAGAGCCAGTCCACATGAATCAGGTGTTTGCACAACCAAGATGTGCATGCAGAGCTGATGCTCCTTGGAAGAGTGGAAGAGTTCAAGCTGTTCTCCCACAACACTTATTACAGCACCACCCTGGCTGAAAGTCTGAACCCAAGGCCAAGTTGTCAAATGCTGCTATAAAGCCTCCTCTGTCTGAGCACTCTATAATGTTATAGTACTCACAATATTCATAAATTGTTCAGGGTTTACTCCTGCTTTGCTTTTCATGTCTTCTGAACTCACAGCTGCTTGCACAATCATCACGATGAGCAGTGGCCACATCTTGGAGTATCTGCAAAAGAATGGAAAATTGCAGATAAGGAAAGAGATTCACTTTATAGTTGAGATGTCTGCCTGATTTCCGAAGACTCAAAGCATTCAAATGAAGCAGAGGAAGAGGCATCTGGATTAGCCTTACACTAACATCCAAAGAGAGACTGAAGTAAGTCAAACGTCGGGATGCTCCTTAGAAAGTAATTGTCTTGCGCAATCTACCATTATGCACTAAAGCATGGGTGGATCCCAGGAACCATGCTAACTGGTTTCCTGCCCATAAATCTACTTCAGGCTTTGTTTCTCAAACGTCCACCATGTGATAAAGAAAGTCAACTTTTAAACCAAAGTGACTTTCAAAAGCAGTTTATGTCATGACAAGGAGATGGCCATTCAAAGAAAAAAGAGGAATACCAGCATGTCTAAGGCCCCGCTTTCAGTCAGAGCCCCTGGCTGTGATTGTAACAACTCTGTAGATACCATCACAGAAGTACTGGAATAGACACTACAAGTAAGGCGACCCGCGATACTCACGGGGGGGGGAGAAGAGCTCCGTCTCCTCCATCCCCCCCCTCGAGCTCCCTGAGGCAGCAGCGGCAGTGAGGCCGGTCTTCCCCCCCCCGTAAGGGGACCTGCGATGCTCGTGGGGGGGAGAAGAGCTCCGTCTCCTCCATCCCCCCCCACTCGATCTCCCCGAGGCGGAGGCGGCGAGGCAGGGGATAAGGGCTCCCGCCCCTCCCTCCCCCCCCGCTCGATCTCCCCGAGGAGGCGGCGGCGAGGCCGGTCCTCCCCCCCCTGCCCAGCTCCGAGGCGGCGACGGTGAGGCTGGTCTCCCCCCCGGCTCCGAGGCGGCGGCGAGGCCGATCCTCCCCCCTCCCCTGCCCGGGTCCGCGGCGGCGAGGCCGGCTACAGAGCGTTCCCTGCGCATGCGCAGGGGACGCTCTGTCACTTTTGGGAGGATTTAAGTATCCCCCCGATTTTTAAAAAACTTTTTAGATTTTTGTGCACACCTGGGGACTGCCCCACGTGTGCACAAAACTCTCCCTCCCCCCCCCCAAGTGCCCCCTCTGTGCTGATTTAGACATCCGCACAGAGGGGGCTACTTCGGTATTAGATATATAGATAATGACTGGATCAGGCACAGATGGGCAGAGAGAGAGAGAGAGAGAGATCTCCTATCCATCACCTTCCCTTCTGAATCTTCCTCTGCTCTAAGCCACCCCAAAGCAGGGGTAACTTAACATGTAGCCTGCTCAGTAGGGAGTTTTGCTAGAAGAGTACAGACAGGTGCAGTTCTGCCTCCCTATTCCCATTTCTTGACAAATGCACTGACAAGTCTCAAATTACTGGCTGTGATTATGTCAAATGATCAAAGGCATTAATCAAGTTGTGGCTTCAGGGAAACACTTTCTTTGAGATCAGGAAGAAAGAGACTGCAAAGAAGGAGGGGGGAGTTCCAAGTAAAATCCTAACCCCACTCTAACTATATGATCCCGAAACTCACATTCGCTCAGACAAATTTAGAGATCTGCTCTTCCAGAAATTCACAAACCCCTGTCTGGGTGGGGACTTTGTTAGCCAAATTGCTCTATTTCTTAATAATAGATTGGGGAATTATGATATTAATGAGCAATCGACATAACTATAGGATCAGACCTGTGTATACTGGAGTTAGAATGGCCCAAAACCCAAGAATAGATACTGAGACTGGGTAGCTAAAATAATGATTCCTTTACTAAATATTCTCAAGGATGCAAACAATATTCAAACATCCATACACACGATACAGAACTAAGAGAGCAAAGGTGATTGATAGCTAATAGAGGGGTTGGTTATGGGGTGATGTGCAGAGGTCCATGAAGATGAGTTTATGGCCTAAACCCAGAGGTTTAGGGGTGGTCTGCCAGTTGGCATCAGGACAGAAGCACACGGTCTGAGGCCATGTGCTCACGGATATAGACATTGGAAAACAATGCAAACCAATGGAAAGTCTTGGGGACTGGTTTCAGGTGAGAACCATAGATTACCTGGGCCAATGATGAGTCCCAGGGGTGTGCGGCATCAGGATGGGCAAGGCCTAGATGCGACCAATGAGCTTCCAGAGTGGCAGGGTCTGGATATAATGACAGTAAGCCAGGTACTGGGGGTGTCCATTGTGGAACAATAGAGTGGTCTGGCGTTTCCCTGGTGCCAGACAAAAGATGTGATGTTTCTTAATGTGTGGCAGGATGAACCTGTCATGACATGGAAAGTTAACATTTACCTTGATAGGTCTGGCATAGGTGTAAGAATGCAGATATCTTAGACAAATATATGGAGACAAAAATGAGAGGATTATTCCAAAGGTATTTCCTGACATAGGTGAAACAGGAGATGGGGATGGAAACATGCAACATACTTCATTCATGACAATATCACAGACCAGAGGCTTTTTGTCCCTGCCTGCCTGTACATTTGACAGAGAAAAGACTAGCCATTTGGTCAGCAGAAGATGTCTGAGGCAAGGGCAGAGATTTGCCCATTCTTAGTTCTTTTGGACTGAGCTGACAGGATAGATGGGAGGGGGGTTGCTCACATGGAGAGTGTTTGGCAGTGCAGCCAGCCTGAAGAGTTCTCTTTGGCCTGAGTTTTCTCAGCCAAGATGTGGTTCTTCTAGCCTCCCAGCAAAAGCCACTGTTTAACCCAAGCCAGGCTTCATAGGGCACTGCTTGTGAGGGTTCAGAGGTAATTTTGGGGTGTCTCTCGGGAAAGACCACCTCCGGCTGAGGATGCTGGCAACGACTTCCTTGTACAGGCAGCCTCCTGCTCCTATGTATGCTCCATAGACATGTGACAGGAAATTTGGTTGACTAGGCTTTTAAACAGGTTGGCTAATGTGCTGCCTCTGGGCTACTACCCTGATGAGCTGTTTATGATTCCTGTATCTACAGAGAATGGCCAAAGTGAAGGATTAGGTTTGCAGCAGAAGATGCCATGATGACATCACCCAGAATTGACATCATTGTGCAGGGCACATTGCAGAGGATACTCTATCATTTAAGGAAAAACTCTATGGTTTTTCCTTAAATGATCGAGCATCCCCCTGCAACATGCCAGGCATGTCGGTGCACACGAAGCTCTTTGTGGGCAGGGTTCTCCCCACAGGCTGGATACGGGCTGGCGGATCGGGGCCCACAAGAGTGGGTAAAGCCATGCCCCCATCAAGAGACTGGGAATCCTGAAACAACCCCACCCCCCAGCCAACAACAAAACAAGCTAGGGGGAAAATGCCCCTTGATTCTCTTCACCAGACCGAATGTATAGTTTTCCAGTAATGGGACGGAGGAGAGTGTTTGAAAACCTACCTGTAAAAGTCTATCTGTTCTGTAACAGTTCACAGTTTAAATGCAATGATTAATTAACTGTTGCAGGTGAATACACGACTTGTGTATGTTTCTATGGGGCTGCATCTGTTATGCACATCCAGAGCTTCGAGACTCAATGCATGCTAATACAGATGTTCCCATGTTAAATCGTACCATGCTTTACTTACTTTTACTTTTAGCCCCCTTTCTTCCTTTCAGAGCTCAAGGTGGTTTATAATGAAGATAAGGTAAATGCATATAAACCAAAAAATTTAAATCACAATTTAGGATTGCTAGCAAGTTAATCAAATGCGCTTCTGAAGTAACCCATTGTCAATTGCCCCCTAAAGATCGCAGGTGAGGGGGCCAGGCACACCTCCCTGGGGAGATAGTTCTATAATTATGAGGCTGCCACTGAAAAGATCCTCCTTCATGTACCCACCAAACAAGTTTATTTGATTGGTAGGACTGTCAGAAGGGCCCCTTGCTGTGAGCTTCATTCCTGGGTAAGGATATATATCAGCTAATATAGGTACAGTAGCAAGAGACAAACCAGACAAGATGGTGGGAGGGATCGTTTTTGTTATGTACGCGGACCGCCACTAGGGGTCCACAACAAAGACTGGAGCTTGGCTCCTCTGGACAATAGGAACATAGGATCCTAGTTCCCCCCAGCCCCAACCAAAAGCTACTTAGGCGGGAAATTCAAACCCTCCAATGGACTAAGGCTGTTCTGGGTGGGTGTGTATATAGTTGGCCTTGCAGGGCCGTTTAGTTAGTCTTGTGTTAAGTACAATAAACATGTGCAAACTCATGTCATCGTCCGAGTCCTCCATGCGGCGAACCCAGTACTTTTCAGTGGCGACGAAGGTGGGATCCCGCTGAGCCAGGCCTGGCTCGCATCCCAGCACAGCACCGAGCTCCGTTCCAGCCAACGCACCCCACACTGCTATCCACTAAATGCTACGCCATGGCCTATGCTCAGGGGAACTTGGAGATCTTTGATCCAGCCCATCCCAAACTCTGGGACTCATGGACAGACCAACTGACTTGCCACTTAGTCTACAATGAAGTCACCGATCTGGGCAAAAGATGAGCCCTCCTCCTTAGCTCCTGTGGAGTGAACACGGTCCGCCTCGCAAAGAACCTCCTCGCACCCTGGTCAATCCTTGAGTGCTTGTACGAGGAGATTGTTGACACCCTGACGAGGTACCTCACGCCACGGCCTACCACACTCGCCAGGCGGATAGAATTCCAGGGTTGTGTCCAGAAACCGGGCGAGTCGGCTGTGGCTTTCATGACCACCCTGCGCCAGCTGGACATGGACTGCGCCTTCACCAAGGTGGAGGAGAACCTCTTAACACAGTTTGCATGGGGCATCAGCAACCTGAAGCTACAGAGGAAGATGATTGGTACCACTGACATCAAGATCGACACAGTCCTACACCTCGCCATCGCCCACGAGGCCTCCTACCGCGACCAACCGCTGGCGGCATCTCACCTCATGCTCCCCGACTCAGGCCCCAAGAACTCGGAGGAGGAGGATGTCCGTCTTGTCCGGCCGCCCTTGCACCAAAAGCCACCAGGTCCTGTGGCCTCAGGACCCATCGGAGACACCACAGGCCGTCCCTCATGCTCCAGTTGGGGCGAGGCACATGAGCGCAAGTCTTGCTGATTCCACGACGTGACTTGCCACACCTGTGGGAAACAGGGTCACCTCGCTCGCGTCTGCCGGTCAAAAGAAGCTGGCACCAGCAGTCCCCAACTCAGGCACACCACCACGCCCCCACCCACGAGACGGCAGCAGAGACGTCTGACCTCTACCTCCTCACAGACCAGCCATTCCTACAGGTACTCTGCCTCCCCAAGTTAGAGGATACCCCGAAGATCCAGCTAACTGTTCGGATCGAAGGGTCCACCT